AGAGGCATTGTTAGTGGTTCATACTTTGTCCCTAATAAAGGGATGGCATTATGGCAAACACCACACACACATGAAATAAGGGAAGGCCAGAGACTGTCCTGTACCTCAGGCCAGTTGGCATGATCCAACCATGTTCACACCACACAGCACTTATCCCAGCTCTCCCCAGGAGGTGCTGCCATGGCTGAAGATGTATTTTTGTGAGGTTCCCCCTCCCCTCTCCAGTTCAAGTTACCTGAAATAACGTGAGTGTTATGCTGTACGCCATGCAAACAGTGTTTTCATGTGATGTTACTGAGGATGTGTGTGGCATGCCCCCGGTCATGATGGATGTGGCTGAACGTCAAGGTACGATAGTTTTGTTGAGCTGTGCTGGTCAAGAGATGTAAACCTGGTGCTGTCTTGACCATATCACTTATCAGAAACAGTCTCATGTGTGTGCGTTCTCACAAAACATGGACTGGGGGGCCACATACACATGAATTGATCATAAAACACTTCCCCAAAGGCTTTCATCACCAAAAGAGCCAGGATACTGTGCTACATGGACTCTTGGCCTGAGTCAGTATGATTCTGCTGTTGTCATGTTCTGACACCTTGTTTCTTCAATTTAGGAAAAGAAAAGAAACATTTTGGCCTGCATTTTAGATTTTTTGGTTAAGCACAGTCATTTTTCATTTTGTTACTTGCATTCTTACAAACCTTTTCAAACTGTGCTTTTTTACTTGTCCTGAGTAAAGGCAAATTTTAAAGTAACTGGATAAAATCATGTGTTCCACCCCTACAGGAGTGGCAGTCCCGAAAACTGGAATACAAGGGTACTAACTGCTGTTCAACGTAATTCTCCACGCTATTTGTAACTGTGCACATACCAGTTTAGCAGTTGGTAGTGCAGGGATGTGAAGGAAAGCAATGTATTTCAGTGATGACTAGTGGCCAGCCAAGCTCTCTGGAAAGGTGTTATAGCTGTGAAAACCACATACAGATCTCAAGAGAGTAATTAAATGTTTGTCTTTGCTTAGGCATTTTGGCAGGTTCCTACTGGGTCACACAAATATGGGAGATTACTTTCATCTACAACTTACCATTAGAGTACATGTTTTAAGTTCTACTTATCACTACATTTGCCCTTATTTTTTTATGCGATTTTAGAGGCGCTTATGTGAGAAGAAATAATCCCCATATGCAAACCTCTGATAATCCTTCTAATATGGAAAATCTTTTCCAGCCACTTAAATTTAGCATACAGGCAGACACCTACTCCAAAAAGAGAGATGTGTCTTGCCTAGATTACTGGTAATTAATACAGTTGTAACATCCCTTCAGTCAATGCACAACAAGCTAAAATTTCATGGTTTGTAAACTTGTAGTCATAGTGTAGAACAAACTAACAACCAATTTGTGTTTAAATGTCCCAGATAGACAGTTTTTGCCTGGCAAGCTGAAGATGTGTTCAGCTGAGGGAGTGATTCATACCAACAGAATGGGGGAACATGTTGACATGAGAAAAATCCAAGGGCACTGCAGGATCTTCACTCCAAAATGCACTAGGAAATGTTCAATCATCTCCCTGTTCCCTCATCCTTTTTTATATTGGCATCCTGGTATGCTATTTTTGTGAAAAATGATAGAAATTTACCACAATGTATGCAATGTATTTGGGCCTGATACGACGAAAAGTAAACCGAACTTTTCCAGTGCTTCCTCAATTTGTGTGAATGTGCAGAATTTACTGCTTGCTTGATTTGCCATCTGGATTGGAAGCTAAGCAGACAATTATTGTAAACTAGCACCTGAAAAATCTACACTTCTCTAAACATTTTTCATAGAAAAGTCCTTTGCAAGTTCACAGTAAAAATTTACACATCAATTGACACACATTTCATAGCTGATGCTGTGAGAAATAGAAGCTGTTGCCAAGATTAAAATGCATGAAAATCAAACGTAAATGCAAAATCCTATTACATTTCTTAAAGGGAGCAAAGCAGTTATTTAAAAGAACATTTTAATATGCAGCTATAAAATTTAGTATTCTGTCTACACAATTTATATATACACATAAGCTAAAAGTACGCATTCCTCAGAACTATTTATGCAACTTTAATAGAGCTGAATTTTTATTTGTAAATATGAGTTTAAAAGATGCAATTTTAACATCCTATTATTGCATTTTTCCCAAATGCTCTAGGCATTAATGCTGTTCACGATTTAATTATTTTTTAAATTAAAAAAATATTCAGCAGTCTCTGTGCTCTGATTTTCAAGCACAGTATCAAAACTGTCCTTAAGTCACAGCTTTGGTCTTCCATTACCACAAGCAGCTGTGTTGTATAAGCTTCCTATAAAGTAGCCAAACTCCATGTTAAAGGAATTTAGGGGTTGGGTTTTTTTGCATTTTTGACGGAGAGCCACACTGCTCTTATTGAAAGGATGAACTTCATGGCTCTCATGGTTAGAAACTGTTCTCTAATTTCTAGTTCTTATCCACTTGTTTACATCACTTGTTTTTACCCCATGGTTACACTTTCAGGAAAAAAAATCATGTTCTTTACTGTCCTTCATTTTTCTCAGTTAATGAGATTCCTCCTGTAAATATTCTCTGTTTCCATTAACTGCCAAGTAGTCCTTCTTAGCACCTGCTCACTGGTCCTGAAAACTGATGATCAGTATTGTACACATTCTTATTAATAAGGTCACTGTACAGTAATTTGCCAGAGTATTAATATTTCCCTCTCTCCATTGGCAATCATTTACGTACTTCACACTCAGAATAAATTTCCCTTTTTCACAGCACTGATGGCTTCTAGACACACTGTGATCAACTGACATTCAGAGATCTTTATCATCTTCAGTCATTTCCAGAAGATGTGCTCTCCCTAAATCTAACAGTAAAATTCCAATAGTGAGTGATGCGTCCCAAACAATCTGATTTCTGTATGTGCTAAGAACGTACTACTTCTGCTGATTTGCATAGGATTATCAGTTTCAAGGATCAGGCCAGAAGAAATTCAAGCTCATTCTATATAAAGTATTTCTGATAAGAAGTGTAAGTTTACAAGGATATCAGGTTTGCCAGATAAGACTGAACACGTGCACTGAATCCAGATGACCTGAACATCCAAATAACGAAAATGCAAGTCAAAAATCAGAGTTGATTCAGGTCATCTGTTGGCAAGGGGATGCAGCTGCTCTTTAAGACTCCAAAATAAGTCCCTTGGCTCTGTTTGCAAATATATGACTTTCTAGCAGAGAAAGGACGTATTGCACTACTCTTGCACAAACTTTTCCCACTTTCACACCATCCCTCCCAGCTTTTTAGCCAGCTGCTATGAGTGAGGGTGCCTCTCTACCATTTCCATTACATTATAGGTTCCTCCACAATCAAGTCAGATTTAACATATCAGTTCAGTTCTTACTGATATCTGGATGTCGTCAAAAAGACTCCCTCTTGTTCACACTGAGGAAAGCCATTGATAACCTTACCTACCTGGCACAGTAAGACAATGTCGCAGCGATAAAATCTCACTCCATTCTATGAAGGAATTATGGGCAAATACTCTTCTCCAACCTGCCATCCCTAATATCATCTAAGCAAACAGTGCACTTAAAAAGCGTCCACAAAACCCAATCAAAAGAAAACAACCCAACATCTCAACAAATATCAGTTCACCACATCAGATTATAACTCAAGGAAAGAGAAAAATTAAATAGAAGTAACGGACTAAGTAATTAAACCTCACTGCTTAATTTGCTACTAGAAGGCATTCAGGTACAATATGATGAGGCTAAAATTAAGAACATTAGAATAGGAGTACCTTTATGTAAAAAGAAGATTCCCGAGAGAGAAATTATTTTTGAAATATTTGAATTCATAAAATGTGAATTAAACACTTAATAGAAATGTATCTGCAAGGGCACTGTATAAATTCTTAGTCTCCTTCATGTCCATAAAACCAGCAGCATTTTACCACATAGGTCTGACTGCAGTCGAATACTTTAAACTCCATTTACACTAGCGGGAAACTTGAAATCTTCAGTTATATTGAAGTAATGACAGTTGTCATTCTCTTTAAACACCAAATATGCTCACTTGATATTCTCAGAAAATTTTCAATTTAGTAAGCCATTTATAAGATACCAGTGTAAGCTAAAACAAAAACCATTATTGATTAAAAACAGATATACTTTTACAAAAAGAGAAGCGAAGCATACATGTGTGTATTTCACCTAAACATAATCCATAACATAAGAATAAAACAATGCAATTTTAAAAAGCTCTTAGAACAGTTAACATCTCAATAATTTTGAAACAAAGAAACAGAAAATCAAATGAAATTAATAGATGAATCAGAAGGATACAAAGTAAAACAGAGTTGCGTGAATATTTTTCTTCACCAGTAGTCAACACCGCAATGGAATTTGTTTTACTAAATGCCATTTCACAGTATCATGACTCCATATGTATGCTATAATGAGGAAGCCACAACCAGCACTGTTCCCAACAGAGACACATTTGCCTCTTTCACTTCACCTCTCTTTAGGCAGAAAGGAATTATAAAAACTATAAGACAAATTATCTGTATCTAAGCTTAAAGAACAAAGGCTTGGCCACCATTTACATCAGTTTATTGGATTTGCTGGACTATTCATGATGTTGGAGGCCCTATACCCCATTTCCAGAGAAAAAGACTGCACATCAAGTCCCTCAGCCACCGTCACTCCTCCACAACACAGTAATGGGGAAGGAGATACTACACAGCACAGAGAATCACATTTTTTCCAGGTGACTGTTATAGAACAGACCTAGAAGACACAGCTCTGGGACTTTAATTTACTTTTATTAAATCATTTGATCAAAAGATCCCATAAAGGATTATTCTACAGGGAAAGACTTATTTTGTCAGTGTTTGCAGTGTGGTATTGTTATAAACTGAAAGACTCGGTCTACAGAGAACCACTGCCATGTTTCAGGTCTTAAAAAACAAATGTCATGCATTTACCTGCCCCCATTATGAGTCCTGGAGCAGTGTCCTTCGTGTGGACTGTTCCTGACACGTAGGGATTGTCTGCCCAGCGGAGATGGAGGTGAAGGTAGCAGTCAGGCTTGTGGGGGAAGAAGAAGACGACGACAGGTTTTAAAAATAACTGGTAACAGTTATGCTCCTACAATAATGTAAGCCCATTTAGAGAGCAGCTTCAGCAATGTATGGGTTCAGAGGTAAAAAGTATGGCTGTTTCCCATGGAGCTAAATTCCAGTCTGAGATATCAACCTTAGCTTTCTAACAAGAATCTCTGGTGGTGTCTGCATAGTGTGAAACTATCTCAGCAAAAGGTTACAACTCACAAGAAGTCAGTATGAAATTATTGTATAAAAAAATCCCTTCTGACAGAATAATTGCTTAATAATACTAACAGAAACAGCAACAGGTATTGCATGTTTGTTGGTTCCAGGTAATTGGTAAAATGATGATTAAAAACAACGGTTTGTACTGAAGTTTCTTTTTTAGAAAAAATGTGGTATGAAGAATAGTGTAATGACTTTTGGACACATCTGACCATATCTCTTTGCTAAGCAACTTACTGCTTCTTGCTCTTTGTGCAGCGGCACTCAAAGGTCACGTTGCTCACAGCAATCTGACCACGAGCTTTACCAAGAGCAGGCTGCCAGCACCGCCTGGGAGTTGCTGCCACTGCAATCTTTCCACTCATTTCAGAAAGCTCTGGATCAGGCCTTGCAGGCTTGAACCATGTAGCACAGTCCTGAACTCTTCAAAAGGGTCCAGCCTTCCACTTCTTCTATGTGGAGAGGGATCAAAGCTCTGGCAGTGGCAGGACTAAAAGCATTTATTACACCCAGCAACGCAGAGCTTTGAGTCCCCAGGAGCAGAGAGTCAGTGAGAAAAAGACAAGGTTTTCAGTACAGTCTTACAAATAACAAAACATTAGGTAGCTGGGAAATCAAAACAAACTGAAATAATATCATCTTATGAAAAGAAAGGATTTTTTCATGCAGTTAACTGTGGTGTTTATTTGCAAGCAACCGTCAAGAGTTGCCTTTAACAGAGAACCAACGGTTACTTTGGTTTAAGATGACACAAAAACATGAAAGATGGAAAGAGAAAAGGTATTGGTAAGCTCTGTTTGACTGATGGTGTGCCCCTTATTGCCTCTTATCCAGACACAAATGATTGTTGTCATGGTTATTCTTAACCGGGTTATGTGGTTGACACAGAAGAAAAAACGTCCTCTTTGTGTCAAAGTGATGTAAAATACGAAATGCAGTGCAACAGAGTCCTGACTACTCACTCTACAAGGTGACTGGACTAACAGCTTGTGAAACTACTGCTCATGCAATGTAAGTAGATTTGCCTACTAGTTTGGTTGGTAAACTTAGCACAAAGCTTGTGAGCTGTTGAAACTACTGCACATCCTATCATACAAATAGTTCTAGTGCACTTTAGAGAAAGGATAGGCTAGAAAGAGCCACTTACAGGTTTGCAGTTTGTCGGTTTGCCGTTCATATCGATGTCTGGAGGGTTTAGAAAATCCCAGTCACGGCCTTTGTTGTAGGTTATCAGAGTTGTAACTTTCCCATCAATTTTCTGGTTGGCCAAAAAGACTCCTTTTACACCCCTGACCTGAAGCATACAGGAGAGAGGGTTAATGACCAGCACATACACATGTTTTTCAACAGGATTATCCCTGGTTAGCTGCTCTTTTGTGGCTCGGAGGCTTGTGTGTGCTTGGGGGTAGTGGCTTGTGTGTATCTCAGGTAGTTTCTTCACTAGAAAAGTGAATGATATTTGAAAAAAAAATTAAGGCAGGCAAAAGGATAAGAGGAAAGGGAGAGGGGGGAAGAGGACGACAATTACTAACTGATTTGTATTTCTAAATAAATTGAAAAGATCTATTGAAAAGGATCTAGTGTTCTCTCAGTGTTAGAAGGCTGATCAAAGTACATGTAGTTTATACAGCAAAATACAAAAATTACAATAGCATGTATACTACCGTTAAAATCACAGCTCTCCATTTTTTATAAAATATGGGCATTTCTAAAATGTTATTCTACAAATGATGTAAGCAATTTATAACAGCAACCTGACTTTTACACTTAAGTCATGTGACCTACATCTTATAAACAGTACACAAATAGGTTACAATACCAAATGACGATATAATATTCTTTAAAGTAACACTGAATCAGGAAGCACAATTGCCTTTTGTAGGAAATAAATGCAGACAGATCATCCGTGGAAGAAACAATGAGGGATGAATCAACCTCTCAAGCATCTGAAACCCACACCCAGTGCACCTCCACATATTTAGCCTCCCCTTGCCTGTTTAACCTCTTGGGGGAAAAAAAAAAAAGTTTACAGGATCTCTCTTCTCTTGGGCAACCTTAGTTAGTTTATTTCAAAACAATCTGTATTAGAAAACTATTACAACTCAGAGTGTCAGAGTTAATAGGAGTACTTTTTAGAAGCAACCTGACAGTAATCACACCTTAATATGTTCAGTTCTGGCCCTAACATTTACGTTATGTGTTAATATGTTTCCCTTGTGATTATTTATGAGGCATCTTGAATTTTTGAAAAATTCTTGACAATGTATATAAACTCATATACTGTTTCCAGCATAGTACAGGTCTCTAATCTGCTTTTTGCTGACATTTAACAAAACTGAAGCATTCATTGTAACTAAATGTACAAGATAGCCAGCTCTTTGCATGATCAGGAATATTTCCCTCTTGCTGACATGATTCATTCCTGGACTTAGTGTTTTGTACTTGAAATACTTAGTGCTTCCTTTTTTCCAACTACTAGTTATTAACTCCCTTTGACATTCATTTAACAGAAGTCTGCATTTAGGGTGAAGAGAAGGTGTCTCTTCCAGCAGGCTACTTGATACGTACTGTCTATAAATGTATGGGTTTTTTCTAAGGAACTGACCCAAAACTACAGAGAATAAGAATGTTCTGCTGGTTATGGTAACAGCCTAGAACTTGGAAATAGATTTCCAAATTTAAGTAACCAAATTCTAAATTCTATTAAAATCTATAGACATTTTAATATGTATAAATAATATGTATAAATGAATAGACATTTTAATATCTCACTCTCTCATGAGCTCCTTCTTCCTTAAAACCCATGTACATGTGATTGGCTTACTTAGGATGCTGGAAGCTCAGAATCACGTCCAAGTCAAAAATACTATAAAAGTCAATTACTTTGCAGTGCAGGTGAGAAATGGAAGGGGAGGGAAGAAATGATGAACCTGCTTTCTTTACTTGTAAAATATTTTTCATCTTGCTGGGGCTTTATTACATATTCTGCCATCCAGAGATGGCACTGTCATGAACACAACTGAAAAGTCTGGCAGTTCAAACATTTACATGGGAAAGTAGACTTGGGGTTCAATTTCTGACCATGTCTTCCAGAGAACACAATATTAAATATTTAAACAATAATTAGACCAGGGACTGCAACTGAGCTTTCCCTCTTTGTTTGTGGATGGCAAAAACAGTGCTGTATCATGAATATTTTTATTTCCTCTCTCTCTTCCCCCCTATCCTTTTTTAATGAATATTTAATCATTCTATATAACCATTCAATGGGAGTCAGACTAAAATTTTTCTCCATTCCCACTCCCATCTCCAACCTAACCAAGCACTAGGGTCCTCTCTAGAATATGGGACATAAATGTTTGAATCTATGAGGCACAGAAAGGTTATGGAAAAACTTCTTCCAGTGTCTCAGTTAACTTCTCTCACTGATGCTCTAAAAGATAAAAGCTGACCAGCACTACAGCACTGTATTTTGAACAAAAGGTGTAAACCCTGCTTGAAATAATAAATAAGTTTTGGGCATTTATCTTCAGAGCAAGTTCAGAATTATGATGTTCAGAGTGGTGCATTAGACTAAAAAATAATAATCAATATAAAATTATGGTGTGTAAAAAATAGCAGCTTTAAAACACCCACGCCCTCTGTAGCATTTTCTATTTTATTTCTCCTGTGACCTACGTAAAAACACGATAACTCTTTCTGTAAATACTGAAATGCTGTATGTCAAATCTACCTTCCAGATTTGACTATGATGCCCAGACACACAAATTCTTCTGTACTTTCTACTTCTTGATTCAGATCCCAAATCTAAAATTGGGAGATTAGTATCTTTCTACCCAGAAGGGAAAAGATTCACATTAATAATAAGGTGCTATGGAAAAGAAGGTATGTCAACATTGTGTTCAGTTACTCTGATAAACAGTCCAGTAGCTATCCAAGACAGATGAACACATGTAAATTCAGAAATACCTTTCCTTTGATTTTCTTTGGACTTTTAGAGTAGTTCTCAGAGCACCTATCTTCCAAAACAGTTCAGGGGTTAGTCGTTCCCCAGTACTCTTAGAAAACCACTTTGTACCTTATAAACCTATTTTTAAGCAGGTTTTCTGCTATGACTATGTATTCTGTGACACATAATTGCTGCATTGTTACATTACTGACTTCACAGCCAAACAATATTCTATACTAGTAGGTGGCACAGTTCAGATGGCCCAGAGTGTTTATTAGTAGCAGTTACTGAAATACAAAAAATACTGCTATATAATATAAGTTTGTGATAAAAATTTAAATATATACTATTTGTTGTTTGGGAATAAAAACCATGAAGAATGTGTACTGCAACTTGTGTAGCTCTTATCTATATGAAAAATCACAACAAGATCCAATCTAGAAGTATTACATTAATATGCCAATTTTGCAAATATGCCTATGTCAAATTTGTGACTCGTTCACACTGGCAGCACTTGATACAATTTCAAGGACATGCTCCTTTTGTACAGTCACAAATTTCAAGGGCATGCTCCTTTTGAACAGCCACTTAATACTTTACCTTTCTTTTTCTTTCCTTCTTTGAACAACTATTTGGGAGTTATTCCCCTTTCACATATGCATCATGAAAAGAAACATGGTACAAAAAAAGATAAAGCACATAAAAGAAAATGAATGCAGACAGCTAGAAACCTATAAAAGATTTTATAGCAGATGTACGAGTAAAATATGAAGTGAGGTCAGCAGCAGATAACAAAAGATGAACAGTGCAAATTTTAAGTGGAATTATGCATTGGTGGAAAGAGAAATTGTCAATCATTGAGGACTGTCTCTCTGTTGCACTGAAGATTCCTCTTCCCAAGATGGGATATTTGCATTAAAATGCCCAGAGAGAAAACCCAAACTAGACCAAAAAAAACCCCATCCTCAAGGACTGCAATATGTGTTATATTTATTAGCTATTTTGTACTGTGTAAATAACCCATACATTACTTGTACGTGTAAGTACTTGACCACATTCTAGTAAAGAAGAGGAACACTAATTATTTATTGTACAAGCTATGTGGAAGCTGTAGCCTTTCTTATTGTAAGCAAACAAAAGTGCACTCCTATAATGCAACACTATTCCAAGAATAGCTCTAAAAAATTGAATTGTATGCCTCCATGTGTACTGTCTTTCAATTACTCTTTATCACCTGCACATTCTGTTTTTAATGTAACCCTACAACTTAATCCACTACACACGATAATCTAGGATCTATGTCCCTCTCTTGTGCGATATCAAATATGGCCTCACTAACATTGTGAAATTCTGAAATCACCAGTGAAACTGAATTAAGTGAGTAACTTATAGACAAAAGGACAGCCAGGGGTGGCACCTCTGTACCACTTACCTGAAATTACATGCTGCAGGTGACGCAGGGAGTAGACATTGTACCTGACCCCCTTTCAGCTTCGCATCCCACAGGAGCGACCAGGAGCAAAGAGCTGCAAACTAATGCTCCCAATAAATCACTCTGTGGGAATGTGGCTACAGCAATGTATAGCTTCACTCATTTGGAAGCCTCATTTCTAAAAAGGTAGGGTCCAGAAAATAATCATTGGTAATGACGGACTTTTTTATTTTACTACAGATATTTGGAAAGAAAATGCTAAACAAAGATGGAGGAGATAAGGTGGAAAAAACAACTATCATTCTCCCCCATCAAGAAGAGTCCAATTACAGCCATTTAACAAGCTCTGTAAGTTTATGTCTTGTATCCAGAATTACTCCTTTTCCAAATAAGTCTGGTGCACTTATAAAGATTTATTTTTTCTAAACTAACACCAGGCAGATTAGAGTCTAACAGTGGCCAAACTGGGTTGGACCAAAGGTCCATTATTTTAATATCCTGATAATGGCCAGTGGTCTGTGCTACAAGAAAGTACAGAACCAGAGCAAATGTACGCCTTATTACATTTAAATGTCATCATCAACAGGAATGGAATTTATAACAGTTTGTGCCACTCTTCTTAAACTGTATAGTCTTCAGTCTTTTATTTTGCCAAGTGCACTGATGCTAATATCCAAGATAGATGTGTTTTCAGGAGAGTTTCTCTCATAGCAAAAGCTGTTGGCACAAGACACCTACTGCAAGCAAGTGGACTTGCTGTTCAGTATCTAACTTCGTTGATTCTTCGCTTGTCCAAGCTGACACAACCTAGCACAAGGCTCACAGGACTACTATTGAAGATCCTACTGGCTAAAAGATGTCCTGCTCTAAGTCAGGACACATACTACTGAGTCACCTAGAAGAAAAAGCTGTATGAAGGCAGTGGCATAACTTCTTACTTCAATAATAAATTGAGCTGCCAGCTTCACTTTTCAATATCTTAAAAAAAAACCCACCTCAGCCAATTCTGGTTTTGCACATCCACGGAATCCCATACCAAGAACATAGTTCTTAGGGTGCACAGGACGTTATCAGGGCAAGAGAGAAACACATAAGTAGTAATGATGCACTATCGGTAAGAAAGAAATCCTAGTCTTTTTACATTAAAGATAACTGTGAAAATATGTTAATGTAAAATTAATTATACTCATAATCAACATTAAAAAAAGAAAATTCAAACTTCACAAAGACATTGGAAGAAATAAAGACCTACCTCCAGAATATCTATCAGGACGTTCTCTTCTGGCTGCTTTGTGCTCCGGACGTTCTCTAGCAGGATAGAGTAGTAAACACCTTGCGGGTCAGACTGGTACAGGTTGTACGTGTCTGTCTGGTACCACTCTTGAACAGCCACAAATACTTGGTTTTCATCTGTACTGATTATCTGTAAATCCTATAGAAAAATGAGTTACAAAATGACTAATTTTTCCATAATTTCTATTTTAAAAACAGTAAGTTGGCCAGGACAGTTTAATACCGGGCGTGGGATAAATGCACCTGAAAGTGCAGTAACAGTCATGTCTCCAAGTAATACTAATCAACAGGCGGTACCCACCGCTCCGAGGTGATCAGTCACTGCCTTTTGGCTACAGGTTATCAGAGTGCAAACCAGCACAGTGCAGACCAAAATCATGAAGGTGCAAAAGCTGCGATCTGCTCTGATGGGGGGGGCGGGAAG